GCAAAACGTTATTAAATTGTCATCGATGGGAGAGGCGTCGTAATCTAGTTTTGCTCTTTAAACTGCTATTGAACAGCCTACTCTCTTGACCGGAACTGCTCGGTCCACGATACACCTCTCTCTGCCATCCTGTCAGATCTGAGGTAAACACTTGACGCGACGCACATTGGCGTGCTTCTCGTGACATCATCATTAACAACTAGTTGTTCAGTTTAGTTCCATACACACTGCATAGAATCTCTGTAAATGCGGTTGTCACTACCTGTATTTTTCAGGAGTTAATGCGGTTGTCACTACCGTATTTTAGTGAATTAGCGATTAAGGAGTAAAAGGTGAACCGACAACCGAATTTAGCTGCAGTGTGTACGTGGCCTTTGTGTTTGTGAGGGTGTTCTAAGCAGTTGCTATGCTACACTGTTTAACATCCAGCAGATGAAACTGGTGCAAAAATGGTACATCACAAACGTCAGTTACCTACGAAATGGCCATCGTAATAAACGAATGACACATCCTTGTCTATCTTCTTCCACTCAATGCGAGGATTCTCGTCATTTTCGGTCTTGAACTCACAGGAGAGCTCGGCATCTGTGGAGGACAGCAGACATCATGGCGTTAGCGCACATCATCTCACTGACGTCTGCATGAAGACACCACACAAACTCACCTGAGAACTCATGCACTTCCACTCGAGGACTGCGGCTGGTGACGGTGACAGGGACGACAGCGATGCCTGAAACAGAGACAAGGATGAATGATCAACACAATGAAAAATATCTGCTGTGTGTGACATTCAGATGTTCACCTAGTTTGTGGTATGTCAGTCTAATGTTCATTTTGGTAGCTTGACTTCCTGAATGTTATCATCAGCGTTTTTAGTGTGTTGCTATGTGGTTTCTAATGTGGCACCTCTATACAGATGCTATAACATTCTGAGTAGTTGCTAGGATGTTACTATGCGGCTGCTAGGGTGTTATGAGTGGGTTTTGATATGTTGCTATGTGGTTGCTAGGGAGTTCTAGGTGTTTGCTTGGACACATCTATACAGTTGCTATAGTGCTCTGTGTGATGGCTAAGCTGTTGCTATATGGTTGCTGATGTGTTATAAGTGATTTTTAGCATGTTGCTAGGTTTTTTTTTAGGTGTTTGTAAGGCATTGATATATGGTTGCTATGGTGTTCCGAGGTGTTTCTATGGTGCTATGGGTGTTTTTGTATGTTGCTATACAGTTGTTAGGGTGTTGCTATGTGGTTTCTGATGTGGTATGAGTGTTTTTTGTGTGCTGCTATGGAGTTGCTAGGGCGCTGCTGTGTTTCCTGAGGTGGTATGAGTGGGTTTTGAGATGTTGTTATGTGGTGCTAGGATGTTCTAGGTGTTTTGCTAATACATTGCTATATGGTTTCTAGGGTGTTGCTATGCTGCATAGCAAGTGAAGAGTGAAACACTGTTGTGAAAAATGCACAGTGCTCTGGCCACTCCAGGAATAGTTTACAAACTCCCAGTGGGATGAACAAGCTCAATATGGATTTCTAAACATAGCTGATCACATTCTTAACTGATATTCTTACTGAACAGACATAAAGGTCCAGTTTCTGTTCGCCTGTGCATTCATGGCTAAAGTTGGATTCTGATTTCCTTACAGGAAAAGGAAGCAGGTGTTTCCCTTCCTGAATAACATGACAGACATTGTTGGTCTTCCTGTTTCTGCCCAAGCATCATTAGAGTAAGACCACGAGCCACAAGAGATGATGACACAACTGACCAAACTAAAGGAGGTTTCCATATCAGAATCAGATCACACATTCACGTTTCATCGTGATGATTTTACAATATTAGGATCCAAACTTCCTTGTCGTTGTCAGAGTCTGACATCCCATCATGCACATTGCATTAATTTGAATCCATTTCAGATAAATGACCATGTAATTCCTTGTAAAAATGCAAGTTGCTCAAAATGACATGGATTCCTGTGGAAACTGAACATCCAAATCACTCTTGGAATTGTTGTTTCCTGACAGACAAAATCATTAACAAAAGGACTGTGGCTGATTATAGCGCTTGATTTGCTGTTGTTGTTTCATCATTTAAAAGGAAACACCAATCAAAACATGAGACTGATCTGGATGAGATCTAGGGATCATCTAAGTGTCCTGATGGTTTGAGTCTCATGAACATGAATCTCAACGATCCTCACAAACAGGGTTATTTGTGTAATAATATGGTAATAGCATGGCACTCACTTTTTGGTTTGTGTTGTGTCTTGCGGTGTTCTTCTTACAAATCAGTACTGTACCATAGTACAGTGATGGCATCATGGTAATTATATGGCACTTTAAAATGAAAACTCATGTTGAAATGATATTTACATGGGTATTTCAAGAACACCATGGAACTGAAAACTCATGTTAGTTCTATGCTACTTTTTTGTTAGTGTCCTTACAGTATTATCACTGCACCGTGGTACCAGCAGTGTTATTTTACTATTATCTATATACTATTACAGTATTTCTTAATATTATGAATTAAAATTTATTTTTAGGAATTATGGAATTATTGTGCTTTTGTCATCGAGTTTAAATATTTCAATTTAGATTGAATTTACTTTTATTTCAGTTTTAGTTTTAGTCATTTTAGTACGTCACATTAACTTATTTTATTTAATTCCAGGGCAACATTTGTAATTTTTTAAAATCTAATATTTAGGCCTGTGTTTTATTTCAATTAACAAATTTTAAAAAACGACAGTTTTAGTTACAATAACAGCTCTAATTTGTCTGGAAGGCTTCTGTCAACACACACTTGTTGTAGTGCTCACGTCTGTTTGAATGTCCAGATCACACAGAAGGAATGCTGATATTCCTCCATATCTGTATTACTCCAGTTGTGGAGTATGAAACGGGACGGTTGGTGTCAGTACCATGCATCATCTTATCAAACCTCATGAGCTGCTGTCAGTCACCCACTCACATCAGACAAACAGCCTCCTCAACTTTCACAGGAATGGTTCAGATATAGGCCTACAGTGGGTATAGAAAAGAATTACCTCCTTTAAAATAATCACATTTTGTTGCTTTGCAGCCTGAAAT